TTACAACCCACAGGTTGAGAACCACTCATCTCAGAGAGCTGGAACCAGCTTCTTTTACACTTTACATGGTAGCTGCCTTCAACAAATTACAAGCATTCTTCGTGACATCTAGAGTGGTGAGCCCTTTGCAGGAAGATTTAATTTACCTGGGTACCACAGAGAAGTCACTGTGGCAGCAGCTGTGTCTGTATGAAATGCATTTCTTCAGAAGGTAAGATTGGAAAGTCAAGATGACCCCTGCAGGCTACAGGAAGGGTGTTGCAGGAAGCAGTCTAATTACGTGTCTCCGAATGCTCTTGACTGATAAAGGAGCATTGAAACTAGTATTTTGAGCAGAGTATTATCCGAGCAGCAGGTCTCAACAATGGGCTTAAAATACCCAGAAACCAGGCAGGCTGTCGTGCACACCTGCTTCTCCACGTAGAGAGCTTAATGGCCGTAGGATTTGAGCATTGTTTTCCATTTGCAGTAACTAACTGTATTGGCCTCTTAACAGAATTCACTTGTCTTTTGAAGTGAGGCATTAGCTTTTCTCTACTTGTGAAAGTGGGATCCGGTGTCGTAGTCTACTGTATCGCTCTTTTGTCTGCTTTGAAAATCTGCTCATCATAGCCATCATCGTTGTTCATTCTGTTAGATCTTCTGGGGGAGAGCTGGCTGTTTTCTACGTGAGCATGGAGACAGCTTCTGCCTTTAAACCTTGGGAACCAATCTTTGCTATCTTCCACCATCTCTCAGCCTTCAGAAGAGCATTTAGAGTCTTGTTCTGCATTAGGCTTTGGCTTCCAGGAATGCTGTGGTTGATTAATCTTCTACCCACACAACTTTTCCACATCAGCAAGAAGGCTGTTTCATTTTCTTACCATTCATGTGTACAATGAAGTCTTCAGGAACTTTTTCTTCACATTCACAGCTGGGCTGACTAGAGAGATCTAGCAGTTTGCCTGTCCCAGCTTACAGCATTTCTTTCCCATGTAGCTTCATCAAATAGCTTATGGTTTAAAATGAGAGCTGGGACAATTCTTTTCACTTATACACTTAGAGACCATAGTAGGGTTGGTTGGTAATTTCACTATTGTCTCTGGGAATAGGAAAGGCCCAAGGAAACTGAGATAGGGAATGATCAGTCAGTGGCGTATCAGGAGACACCATATGTATTTAATGAATAAGTATACTGTCCTATATGGTCATGGTTTGTGGTATTCTAATGTGAATTTGATATTAACAGCAAAGATCATAGATTACAGGTTGTCATAATTTATGAAATAATAAAAACAAAAGTTTTATTTGTTTTGTTTTTTTCTTCAAGATAGGGTTTCTTTATGTAACACTCCTGGCTGTCCTGGAACTCACTCTGTAGACCAGGCTGGCCTCAAACTCACAGAGATCCCTCTGCCTCTACCTCCTGAGTGCTGGGATTAAAGGCGTGTGCCTCCAAGTCTCGAAATAAAAATTTTTAAGTGGTGCTAAAATTACCAGAATGTGACACAGAAATTGAAATGAGCATGTGCTATTGGAAAAGTGGCTTTAACAGACTTGCTTGATGTAGGATTTGTAAAAACAAAAACAGTATCCATGGCATGCAATATTGTGAAAGCTCAACAGTACGAGATGCCTGTGTTGTTCAGTGATTGGCCAGTGTGCTAACCCCCCCTTTTTAGTAGCCTTAACACTGGAGCCTCAGAGTATGTGCTGTGGCAAGTGCAGCATGAGGCCCTCACACCAAGCTCATGCATGGCCTGGGCTGTCCCAGTAGGTACTCGGATTTCCCCTTCCCTTTGTCCCCCAGCCCTCCTGCACCCTGCAACAACACACCTACACTGTTTAGAAAATTGTTAATGGTCATATTTTCCAACCAAGGAAGAATCTAAATTAGAGTGTAATTCTTGAGTCTGCATATGAGCCAGTGTTAGGATTGCTTGGGCTAAGGGGCAGAGAGAGGAGTAGCCCAGTAGACAGAAGAATAGCAGTAGGAACTCATGTCAGAATGAGCAGCTGTCAGAGCTGTCTTGGCCACCTCTGGAATCCAGTTCCTTAGTAAGGGCTGTAGAAAGAACCATTCACTGGAAAGGTCTGGAGACTGTGTACAGGGCCTACACAGGCCTTGTGAGGCAATGCCTGACAAAACAACTGCTGCTCTTCAAGAAAAAGGGACATCTAGGGGAATGGGACAAGACTTACACATAGGAATAAGAAACTTAAATTGGGGACTGAAGGCTGAAATGAGGCCTGATGCTAGGCTGTCCTGCCACACACAGTCTTTACTGTGTATGGTCCTGCACACAGGATAAGGCCAGGGCCAGAGCTGGGTCCCTGAGAACAGAGGTTCAGGTGGGACAAGGATGAGAGAAGCAAAGATGACCCAGATGAAGTCTCCAGTGGGCTGAGCACCAGCTGGGCAACAGCCCCACAGCCCCATCCATGCTTGGATACTCAGTCTTCTCTTCCCACCCAAAACAGACCCATACAGCAGAGGTAGATTCTGGAATGTTCTCAGGTTTTATTTCTTCTCCCAAGTTTGAAGCACTTGCTGTATACTAAACTATGGTTAGCTAGTGGCAAGCTCCATGCTCTGATACTCAGACAGGCTTTATTTATTTGTACAAGCAAAATATCACCACATACCCCCTTTTTTGTCTAAAAATAAAAAAGATTATAACTAATATAAGAAAAACTATATAATAAGTACAATGAGTATGTACAATATATACAGGCAATTAACAATGTCTAGTCCATTAGCATTTGACAAATTCAGAGAAAGTACTCCATTATTTATTCTTAATGAGTCCAAAGTCTTATTCCTAATTTACTTTCTATGCTAGTTTGCTTTATCACATTATCTTTTAATGTCTCTCAAACCTATTACACTTAACACATCTTCAGTGAGTTTCTCTATTGAGTTTGTTAAACAAGGAAAACTATAGCTATACTAGGGAATAATATTAACCACTTAAACAGGAATTGCAAGCAAGTGACTTCCAAAAAAAAATGTGAGAAATGACAGAAACAGCTAGCTGCCTGTCCATTGGCCAATAAGACCAATGTAAAGTAGGTGGAGTCATGGAGACGCCATGTAGCTGCCCAGGAAGAACCAGGCATCGCTGGTAAGCCAAGACCACGTGGAGATAGACAGATTAATAGAAATGGGTTAATAAGAGAGAGCTAGTCAATAAGCCCGAGCCACAGGCCAAACAGTTAATATAAGCCTCTGTGTGTTTATTTGGGACTAAACGGCTGTGGGACTGGGCAGGACAAACTTCCATCTACACTAAACCAGCCAACCCTGGGGTAAGAATTCCAAATAGATTCATATCTAGGTGCTGTTCTCAATAGACAGAGAACCCTAATCCTAGTTTGCCTGAACAGACTCACATTTGCCAACTGCTCACACAGATGGACATAGTCAGATGCTAATTGCAGAAAAAGAAGTCAGGAGCTCTTCATGATATAGTGCGTTCACCGTCCTATGGCTCAGTTCCACAGTCACACTGCAGAGAAAAAAATCATGAAAATGCAGGTCACCGAGCCCTGGTACTGAACAGCCCACTGCATATTTGTCTACCAGCATTCCAAACCCAGAAACCTACAACATAGTCCTGCCCGCTGCCACTCCCGTCTCTGACTTCAGGTTCTCCCGTGCCTTAGAAGTTAGAAGCCTTAAATGCCCACAGGAGATGGGGGGTTGGAATTAAGGGTCCTGTCTATACTGCCACCAGGGTCTCAGGGCTAGACCTTCCAAACTTACAGGTGGCCTGAACATAGCTGCCACTTCTGCCTGTAGGAAACAAAACTTGTGAGGGGTCATGGAGGCAGTGGGGCTATGACAGCCTAAAAGAACCAGCAAATCCCAGGACACGGGGAAGTATCTTGAACTTGATGCAGATCACAGGGCTAGATAAAGCAACAGGAAGGGATTTGTGCAAGAGGACTGACTGCCCTCTTGGAGGTCAGTGTCTCTAGAGGGATCTCTCTGACCTGTAGGTGCTGAGAGCCAGGTCCTCAGGGCCACAGTCACCTTGGTAATAGACAACTTCTTATTTTTACATGGTTTACACAGCACATAGAACTGGGAAAGTGAGTTGCCTTTAGTAAAGCTGTACAAACTTCTAATGGGCTTTTAATTCCCTTAGGAACACAGACCACAGATGGCTCCGTGGGTAGAGGTGCTTGCTGTGCAAGCCTGTTGACCTGGTGTGATCTCCAGGATCCACACAAACCTCCAGAGAACTCTACAAAGTTGTTTGACCTGTACATGCATACAGTGGCACGCATGAACATACGAACATGCTTGTTCACAATAAAGACCCCAATCTTCTCACCATTCCTCCTTGGTAACTTTCTCCACACCACAGCAGTGACCGCAGCTCCAAGGAGAACCAGCCCAGCAGCGACTCCCACAATGAGGTCTATGTGCTGAGGAGGTGGGGCTGGGGAATGAAAGGAAAAGTGAGGAGCTCTATTCAGGGTCTCCAGGGGCCTCCTGTTTTCCTTGACAGCCTACCCCTCCTTACCCCATCTCAGGGTGAGGGGCTCAGGCAGCCCCTCATGCTGCACATGGCATGTGTATCTCTGCTCCTCCCCAGAAGGTACCACCACAGCCGCCCACTTCTGGAAGGTTCCGTCCCCTGCAGGCCTGGTGTCCACAAGTTCCATGTCCTGGGTCTGTTCCTTCCTATCTCTCTGCCAGGTCAGGGTGATGTCAGCAGGGTAGAAGCCCAGGGCCCAGCACTTCAGGGTGATGTCACCTTCAGGTCTGGGATGATGGGTCAAGTGTGTCTTTGGGGGATCTGTGAATTCGGAGGTTCAGCGACTGCATTACCTTCACTGATGGACAGGACGCTTGAGGTGGGAAAGGAGGCACAAAACCCAGGCTCCTAGGATACTCTCTACCTTGGAAAATTCTAGAACCAGTTGGAGCCAGCCCAGAGTAAGAGGCCCCAAGTCTCTGAAAGGGAAATTGGGTGGGTTCTGACGTGGGTGTAGGCCGGGTGACTCAGAAAAGCTTGACCAACCTTCCAAATACACTGGAGTGGGGTTAGAAAACAGAGTGAGTGTCCAACTAATGTCCCAGGCTGCTGGAGGGTGGTTAGTTCCTCCAGGAACTGACTTCTCCCACCCCGAGCAGCAAGACGGGGATTCTTTAATTGTCCAGAGAGAACCCAGGAAGATTCACACAGGCTAGACCAGAAGGGAGGGAGGTGTCTTTGCAGGAAACCCAAAGGCAAGGAAGTCTACACAGGGATCCAGGTGTTCGCGGGCCCTCAATACCTGCACGTTGCAGTATCTCTTTCCCCTTCTCCAGATGACTGCGGAGCCACTCCATGCATGTAACTTTCAGGTAGGCCCTGTGGTGCTCCGCCTCATTCGTTGCCTCGTACTTGCGCTGGGTAATCAGAGCCACCTTGTTGGCAGCAGTCCAGGAACGGAGGTCCTCGTTTAGAGAGATGTGGTCGGCGCCATCATACGCCGTCCTGTAGTACCCGCCGAGGAAGCGCCCATCACTGCCCATATAGCAGCCACGCATGGACTGGATGGTGTGGTACCCTGGAAGGCAAAAGCCATCAGCCCCAGAGGCCTGGCCCCTCCAGCTGCTCTTAGCCCCGCCCCGTGGGGGGATGGAGGACAACAAGTGGTTGGGAGTCTTCCATCCGAAACTGGTGGATTTCTGTATCTCTGTGGGGTCTAGGAGATGCGTACGGCAGTAGCCTTGGGTCATGAGCCTGGTGGACTATTTAGGGGGCCATCCAAGACCCACAGGGCTAGGTGACCCGCCCAGGGTTCCACTCACCTGCTTCGCTCTGGTTGTAGTAGCGCAGCAGGGTCCTCAGATTATCACGGAAAATCTGCGCGTTTGCTTTGGCGATCCGAGTCTGCCGCTCCCAGTACTCCGGCCGCTTCTCCTCCATCCACCGCGCCCGCGGCTCCTCTCTGGGGGTGACCGCGTCGCTGTCGAACCACACAAAGCGCGTGTCGTCCACGAACCCGAAGGCGACGAACCGCGGTTCCCCGTGTCCCGGCTGGGTCATGGCAGTGCCGAAATAACGCAGCGAGTGCGAGCCTGGAGGAAGCAAGAAGCTGACGGCGGCCCCACCTCCCTCCCAGCATCCGGAGCTGGTGCGCGGGCCGGGAGGGAAGCAGCGCGCGGGGCTCCGGACGCGGGTAGGGAAGGGGCGGGAGGGTCGAGCTGAGCGATGCGGGGACGCTGCTTCCCCGGTCCATTTCCCTCCGGACCCGGCTCTCACCCGCGCGGGTCTGGGTCGGGGCCAGGGCGGCCGCCAGCAGCAGGAGCAGCGTGCGCGGCGTCATCGCCCCCATCTCAGATCTGGGGGACGTTTGAGCAGAAACCGGACACCCAATGGGAGTGGGAGTTATCCTCGCGTCATAAGTATCTAGGCAGAAGAATCTGACCCAGTTTGGGACACCAGGAAGTGAACTGTGTAGGCGAGAGGAAATTTCCCGGGCTGGGCTTCTTTTTCAGCCACCTGCCGTCCCGACCAGGGACAAGAGGTTTCCTTAAGCTGTCTCTCGGGCTCCAGTTCAAGAGTTGTCTAGGTCAGCTGTTCTCAGACTTGTTCTCAGACTTTCCGGACTCAGGATCTCCGTGTGCTCTTAGGATTTAGTGAGTTGGCTCAGAGGTTAAGAGCACTGGCTATTCTTCCAGAGTTCAATTCCCAGCCCCCACATGGGGGCTTACAGCCGTTTATCTCTCTCTATAATGAGACATGCCCTCTTCTGGGTGCAGACTGAATACTGTATGCATAATAAATAAATAAATAAATCTTTAAAAAAACCCTAAAACCTTATAAAATGTTTGCAATTTATTTAGAATATTAACAAATCCATTATGTTGACAAAATAATTTCCCAGATGAACAGCCTGCAGTGTGGGTCTTTTTGCCCTTCACAAGTTTGCAAGTCTTTTTCTTAATCTGTTTCAGTAAAGGCTGATGGATTTTCATATATACTTTTGGCGTTTAACCTGTCTTTCCTGTTGAGGATGAAACAAACAGCTTGCCTTACCCACATATGTAGGCGGAATATTTTAATGCTCTTATCTGATAATTGTGGATACTCATGTTTGTTACCATAGCAAAATAAAAATGTACTAATATTTATTTAGACAGGGTTCTTGAATTCTACCTTGGACTTGGAGTGAAGAGGGAGTGTTGATTCTGTTTCTGGCTGTGTGGCCAGCTCCGTGTGCAAAACTGTATATGACCTCAAATCAAGTGATTGTCAATCATGTACACGTATGTGCATATACCCCCCCTTAATGTTTACAGTTACTATAATTCTCTATAGTTTACAGTAAGGCACAGGTGAGACATCAGCCTGAGGAGTGGTTCTCGAGAGACACCAGCATTTGAGATTTACATGATACTAAACTAAGAGCCATTTTTCATTCCTTCTATCAGTGTTTGTTCCATGGAAGAGAAATTACATTTATCTCCCAATATTACAGCTCACAATTTAACATATATCCAATATATATTGATAGATAATACATGTTACATATAATATATATCTGGAGATGTGGCCCAGTAGCAGAGTGTTTAGAGTGTTTTTCTGATATGCACAAGACCCTGAACTTGAACCACAATATTAGGCTGCTGGGGGGGAAGTGCCATCGTCATTCCTGCTTAGCTGTGGGCCTGCATGCTGCACCACTGGCATACATGGTAAGATGTGCAACACAAGATAGGTAGATAATAGAGCATTTCCTCTGGATTTGACAAATTCAGATGAACTGGACATGGTGAATGCAATTTTCACTTGATAATCGTTCTTATTGTATGTAGTGTTATTGTGTGAGAGTCAAAATCTTTCCTTTTTATTTAGACAAAAAGATAGAAATGTTGTGGGATATTTGATTGTACTGTGACATCCTGAGACTGTGCCAATAAAGTTAACCTTGAATCAGGGGGCGGAGTCAGCAACTAGTTGATAAGAATTAGTCATAAATACTACAGAGGACCTAGGAAATGGATCGAAAGGCACAGGAAGGAATAGGGAGGGACTTGTGGGTTTCTTGTCAGCCCTTTTTTGGTTTGGAAAATATGGAGAGAAGGTTAGGTGGTGGCTCCTCCACCACTTCTTTGATTTCTCAAGTTTTCACCCCAATAAAACTCCTGTTTTTATTGGCAATAAAACAACTAAGGTAATATAACATGGCTCAGTTGTTAAAAGCACTTGCTACTCCTGCAGAAGCCCCGAGTTTGATTCCCAACAACCACGTGAAGATTTGATGCTCTCTTCTGACCTTTTGGGAGCACCAGACACTCATACAATATGCAGACATACATGCAGGCAAAACACTCATATACATTAAATACATCTTTAAAAATGAAGAAAAAGGAGTAAACCTGCCCTGGCAGCCTGGAAATCAGTATGGCAGTTTCTCAGGAAAATGGGAATCAGTCTACCTCATGATCCAGCAATTCCACTCTTGGGCATATACCCAAAGAATGCACATTCATACAACAAGGACATATGTTTAACTATGTTCATAGCAGCGTTGTTTGTAATAGCCAGAACTTGGAAGCAACCTAGACGCCCTTCAACTAAAGAATGGATGGAGAAAATGTGGTACATTTACACAATGGAGTATTACTTGGGGGGCGTGGACAATGAAATCTTGAAATTTGCAGGCAAATGGATAGAACTGGAAGAAACTATCCTCAGTGAGGTAACCCAATCACAGAAAGACAAGCATTTATGTGCTCACTCATATATGGATATTAGACTTACAGCAAAGGATCACCACCCTACAGTACATACCACCAGAGAAACTAGGAAACAAGGAGGTCCCTAGGAGAAAAATATATGGTCCCTGAAGAAGGGGAAAGGAACAAGAACTCCTGAGCAAATTGGGAGCACGAAGTGGGGGAAGAGAGGGCAAGGTCGGAAACAGAGAAGGGGATAGAGGAGGGGAGAGGAGAACAAGAGAGAGCAGGAAGGCTGAGACAGGGGAGGGGTGGAGGAGAGCAGGAAAAGAGATATCTTAATAGAGGGAGCCAGTATAGGTTTAAAGAGAAATCTGGCACTAGGAAAATGTTCAGAGATCCACAAGGATGACCCCAACTAAGAATCAAGGCAGTAGTGGAGAGGCTGCCTTTGATGCCTTCCTCTATAATGAGATTGATGACTACCTTGGTTGCCATCCTAGTAGCTAATTGAAGCTAATTGAAGCAGAAGCAGGCACCCACAGATAATCACTGAGCCATACTCCTGGAATCCAGTTGTAGAGAGGGAGGAGGGATGAGCAAAGGAGGCAAGACCATGCTGGGGAAACCCACAGAACCAGCTGACCTGACCTAGTGAGAGCACAAAGACCCCAGTCGTAAAGCTGGGGAACCAGCATTGGACTGAACCAAGCCCTCTGAATGTAGGTGCCAGCTTGGAGGCCTGGGCAGTCTATGGGACCTCTAACAGTGGAACCAGTATTTATCCCTAGTGCACAATTAGACTTCGGGAGCCCATTCCCTGTCTCAGGATCCTATTTCAGCCCAGATACATGGAGGAGGGCCTAGACCCTCCCCCAAATGATGTGACAGACTGTGATGATCCCCCGTGGAAGGACTCACCGTCCTTGGAGAGTGGGTGGGGTGGGTTGTGGGGTTTGGTAGGGGGAATGGGAGGATGCGAGGGAGAGGGAATGGGGGGATTGATATGTAAAGTGATTGTTTCTAAATAAAAAATAAATTAAAAAATTAAAAGAATTTTGACACTGGAGTATGTCATGCATAGAATCAACTTTTTTGAATTTTTCATTTTATGTGTATGGGTGTTTTGTCTGCATGCATGTTTTTGCACCACATGTGTTCAGTGCTTGAAGGGGCCTGGAGAGGTTGTTGAATCTCCTGGGGCTTGGGTTACAGGCGGTTGTGAGCCACTATGTGGGTGCTGGGAACTGAACCCATCCTCAAGAAGAGCAGTCAGTGTCCTTAACCACTGAGACATCCCTCCAGCTCAAGAGTCGTCAACTCTTACCATACTTTGAGTCCAGAATGTTCTGATTAATGAGTTCTCTCCTCTGAATCTCACTCCAGAATCAGTTCACTTCAATTTGATCTCAAGAAGGTCTCTTGAGGCAAAAGGAGTGACATAGGGTTCCAGTGGCTGTCTTCCTGGAAATCAGTGTGTTGTTCCATCTGACCCAAGAATGGCAGATGGATGTCTCCAAGGGGATCACTAGCACCTGAGTGGTCCTTAAACACTAGGTGGGTCTTGAAGCTGTATAGAAGCATCAGCAGTTAAGAGCACTAGTTTTTGTTCCAGTTTGGTCCTGAGTTTGGTCCCTAATATCTCCATGACAGTTCACAGCTGTCTGTAACCCCAGTTCCAGGGGACCTGAAGCCTTCTGTCATCCATGGGCACTAGGCGTGCAAATGGTGCACAGACATGCATAGGTGCAGACAAAACGCCTGTAAAATAAAATAAACCATCATGTGGGGCTTTGGCTAGTGAAAGTGAAGTAGCATAGGTAACATGCAAAGCAAGAGAGTAACATGGAAGAGCTCAGCGGCAGTCAAGGAAACCAGCCAACAATGCTTCAGGGAGTCCTTTGTGGCCACCAGGAATGATGGCAGTAGAGGTTTGATGTAGGGTAGAGTCGGCTTGCTGCGTGTGTAGCAGACAAGGAGCTCTGTTCAGAGACCTCTACTCAAGTGAAGATGAAATTCTTGACTTGAAAAAAAAAAAAAAAGAATTGGATCTCTGTGAGTTCAAGACCAGCCTGGTCTACAAGAGCTAGTTCCAGGACAGGCTCCACAGCTACACAGGGCAACCCTGTCTTAAAACAAACCAAAACAGAAAAAAAAAAAGAATTTAAGAACATCAGTATGAAGCAAAGTTCAAGTTTATCAGGAGGGGGCATTAACAGATTTAAAAACAAGGTTGAATATAAAGAGAAGCATCTAGAAAAGGGCAGAGAAGATCTGAAGATGGATTTCCACTTCTCAAGACAGAGGTACTATTTTAGTCGTCTTGCTTTGATTGGGTTTACCCACTAAGGAAACTATGGGAATAATTTACCAAACAAAATTACCAAAATACCCCCATCCTTATTTTCAAGAAGGAAGAATAAATTTATAGGTCATTGGAAACTAAGTTCAGTGTCTGAGAGAGGTCTCCCAGGCCTGTCTGTCCTGGATCAGGAGAGGCGACTGGGGAAGACACACATGTCAATGTGGAGAGGAGTCATACTCAGATCTGAGCTGAATTCACTTCCTTATGTCAGCGTTGACAGGAGACAGACACTTGGACACAGGTGGATGCCAATTTCGGAAAGAAAAGTCAGGAGCTTTTGAAGTCACACAAGGTGGGTGACTTCTATCTCACACGATAGAAGGAAAAAATTAAGAACAAATTCTGGGTGAAGAAAGAAAGAAAAAAGAGATTATCACTGCTCAGCAATGTGTTCTCTGAACACTTCCTATCCTTCTGGGAGAGACACATCAGATCCCTGGGTACTGTCCCTGCCTAAAGCAGTACAGAGTAAGTCCTCGTAAGAGCCCACAGCAATAGGGCCAAAAGAGAAATGGGTGAGCTCCTCCATGGGTATCTGTCTATTCTTTTGCAAGGGTCTCTAGAACCACCTTAATTACCAGCAGTCAAATTAGAGCTGCCTCTTTCCCACCCGTGGAAAGAACCAACCAGTGAGAGACCTTGGAAGTCACAATACGAGTGGGAGGAAACTCCTAGTTCATCTCCAGGGAAGCTTCTAGAACTGTGACTGCAGCTTTGTGGAAGGAGGAGGAAACATGATGGAAGATTGTACATAGCTGGCTTCCTGTAGGTTTGTTCTCAGTAGGGACCTTTTTTTGTGACATCTGTTGTGGTGATATCTTGCTTGTACAAATAAAGCCTGTCTGAAGGTCCGAGAATGGAGCTTGACACTAGCTAACCATAGAGGTCTGTACAGACAGACAGGAAGTGAGGTAGCTGGGTGGAAACAGGATTTGGGCTCCATTTGTAGACAGAAGTTTCTGTCCCTCTTGGGACCTGCAGCTGTTTAGTCCCAAATAAACACACAGAGGCTTATATTAATTATAAAATGTTTGTCCTATGGCTCAGGCTTCTTATTGGCTAGCTCTTTCTTAATAATTAACCCATTTCTATTAATCTCTGCATGTTCTTGGCTTACCAGTGATGTCTGGGACTCTTCCTTCCTCGGCAGCTACTTGGCATCTCCCTTGCAACTCACTCTCTGCATTCCTCTTCCCAGAATTCTCCTAGTATGGTAGCCCCGCCTATACTTCTTGCCTGGCTATATCCTGCCTGTCCATTGGCCGAGACAATTTTATTCATCAACCAATAAGAGAAACATAAATTCACAGCATGCAGAAGGACATCCCCCATCAGTCTGTCTGTGGGGAATCAGAATCAAGTCTCCATCAAGAGTGGGATGGGTCTACCCATTGCTTTACAATAGAGTTAGTGTCATCACGCAGGCCCCAGCACCTGTGTGTGGGGCAGGGTATATTTATAGCTTGGGCTTGCAATCCCTTGGGAGACAAGAACTCAGATCCTGCCCTTGTTTTACCTTTATTTCTTCTGTATCAGAAAAATCGCCACAGTTCCCATAACCAAAGCTCCAAGAAGCAGTCCAATAAGAATCACCATGAGGGAGATGGTTGGCAGAGGAGGCTCTGATGAGGCAGAGGACAGAAGAGTGAGGGCTCTGACTCTTGCTCTCAACCCTGATTCAGTCCCTGTTCTTCTAAAGGGCTCACACATTCCCTGGCAACAGACTCTTGCTCAAACACACTCCTTACCCCATCTTAGAATGCGGGGCTCAGGTAACCCTTCATGGTTCACATGGCATGTGTATCTCAGCTCCTCTCCAGAAGGGACCACCACAGCTGCCCACTTCTGGAAGGTTCCATCTCCTGCAGGCCTGGTGTCTCCCAGCTCTATGTCCTGGGTCTGGTTGTTCCCATCCCTCTGCCAGCTCAGGGTGATCTCAGCAGGGTAGAAGTTCAGGGCCCAGCACCTCAGGGTGACATTCCCTCCAGGTCTCACTTGATGGGTTACATACGTTTGAGGAGGGTCTGAGGGGAACAATTGGAAAATTCAGGCATTTTGCCTTCCTCCTGGGGACTGAGCAGAGCTCATGTGACCATCCCTGGAAAGGATGGTAGAGGTGAATAAGGGAGGGGAGCAGAATTCACACAGCAGCCTAAACTCAGGAATGGGACTCCTTGGGAAATTTCAGAATGACCACAAGGCTGGCACTCAGCAGGAGACTCTGAGAGCTCCCTCTAGGTAAACAGACTTCTGGGTCTGTCTGGGCAGGGTCTGAGAGACTCAGGGACCTTGGAGTCAGACATTCAGAGTCATCGTTCATGGACAGTGAACAGGCCTGAGAGAGGCCATGGTTCACAAACCAGTTCCCAGGAAGGGAACTGCTGCTTAATTGACACACTGGACTATCCTGGGAGAAGGGTGAACCCTCTGGAGAGTTTCTCTCTCACATTGAGTCAGGAAACTTCACAGCAGTCTGTCCCCCTTGATGCAAGACAGTGTAAGTATTCCAGCTGCTCCCTGCTGAGGAGGAGGAAGCCTTAGGAGACAGCAGTTCTACTCTCAGAAGAAGGAGTCGGCAAGCGTCTCTCTTACCAGAGCGCAGCAATGTCTCCTTCCCCAGGTCCAGGCATCTACGAAGCATTTCCACACATTTCCCCTGCAGGTAAGTCCTCCAGTGCTCTGCCTTATGGTGTGTCTCCCAGGTTTGCTTTATGAGTTGAGCTGCCTTGCCCTCTGCAGTCCAAGAGCTGAGGTCCTCATTCAGGGTGATGTAATCGTGGCCATAATAGGTGAACCGATAGTGACCGCGGAGGAAGCTCCCATTATTTTCCACATTGCAGCCGAGCACCTTCTGTAGGGTGGGATAGCCTGCCCCATCCCAATCCAGCTATCAGTCCCTGCTGCTTCTCTCCCTCCCGGATTTTGTCCCAAACTAACCCTCTAACTGGGTCATGGTCTGTGGTTTAACCTCGGGCCTGGGGACCTGGAGTGGAGCGAATTGGGCAGGACCCTGAGGGCATGGAGGGGTTGTGATCTGGGACCACTCACCGCCCTTGCTGTGTTTGTAGTAGTTCATCAGGACCTCAAGAAACTTTCGATCACCCTGTGACTTGTACAGGGCTTCCTGTGTTTCTTCCTTCCAATACTCAGGCGGCTCCTGCTTCATCCAAGGAGCCCGAGGTTCCATCTTGGCAGTCGCCGCGTTGCTATCGAATCCCATGACCTGTGTGGCGTCCACATAGCAGACATGGATGAACCTGGGCTCCCAGGTGTCCGGCCCGTAAGTCACGGTGTCGAAAGACTGCAGCCAGTGTGAGCCTGGGGATGAAGCACATCCAGACCCTGACCCTTCTGCCTGGATCCAGGGCAGGTTGGTGGGCTGGGAAGGAAGTGGAGCAGGGGTGGTAAAGGGAGAGGGCAGGGCCACCAGCTGGGAGGACAGGAAGGGTCTGGGTAGGCGATGGTAGAGATGCAGAGATGAGGATTCCTAGGTCTGCGCACTGCTCCTAAAAAGGCCATTTCTCTCCAGGTTCTGCACCTACCTGCGCAGTTCTGGGTCAGGGCCAAGGCCACCACCTCCAGCAGCAGGAGGGCGCAGGGGCAAGATGTCCTCATCCTCCGAGATGAGTGGTGTCTTTGTCAGGACTCTATAACTCTGATGTGGAGGAGGCTGACTGGCTTCGCTAAGAATTCCCAAAGGTGGTGACGTAGACCTGGTGGGTTGGGTCATGGAGAGATGAACTCTTGGAAAAGAAATACCTGGGCCCTGCTTCCCCACTTTGGACCCAGTTGTGTGGCCTGGTATCCTGGGATCAGTGTCTGAACACAGTTGCTTTACAACCCCTCCCCCGATCTCTGTCCCCTTGGCCTTGGTCACAACATCCTCGAGTCCAACCCAGAGCCCAGAAAGTCATTAATTCTCAAACATTTTGGTATCAAAATCTCTACATGCACTTAGACATCGTGTAGACTTCAATGGCTATTGAGCTCCTGTGGATTATATCAGTCCATATTTTTTACCACGATAGGAAATGGAGGTTTTGAGACTTTTGATTCAGTGTGAATATTAACAACTGGTCTCATGTAAGCAGCAGAAAAAGCGAAAGAGCTATTTTCCAAAATGAAATGATGCTGTGAAAAGAACTTTTTGGATATTTAACATTTCTGGGAGCCCTTATCATCATCTTTCCCACTGCAGATTGCCTGGATTTTGTCTTCTTTTAGACAGTTTTGTTTTTAATTTGAATTGCAGAAAGAAATGCAGTTTCACAGGCATATTTTAGGAGAAACAATTTTAAGATTTGGTTTTATTTGCATATATTTTTGTGTGTCTCCATATGCATGCAAGGAGTGTGAACTCATTAGACCTAGAAAAGGAAGTGGGAAACCCTGGAGCTGGAGTGGGAAACCCTGGAGCTGGAGTTACAGGAACCTGTGAACTGCCAGACTCGAGTTCCGGGAAATCAACTCAGGCCCTCTGCAAGGGCAGCAGCAAGGGCTCTTCACACCGGAGACATCCCCTTCAGGCCCAGCAAAAAATATTTTCATTAACATCTTTAAACAACTGTAGTTTTCTTTTAAGACGGGGTCTCAGTATGTTGCCTTGGCGGCCTGGAAGTGGCTATCTACAGCCAGAATGATCTAGAACTCAGATGTGTACCTGCTTCTGGCTCCAGATTGCTGGGGTTAAAGGAATGTGCCAACAAAGTGGGCTAATGGCCAATTATTTTTTTCTCAATGATAGTCACCAAATTGGCACAAGTGGTACTTTCTCAAGATTGTTTACACCGTGGGCTTGAGACATCGATGAGTCCATCATCTGCGGCACCCACAGCAATGGGAGAGGCTAGTATAAGGAATGAATGCTATATGAATGAATATTATTTTAAAGCAGGACTTCTTTAACCAACTCCTTTAAGGACAAATTCTCAAACACTCAGTCTTTAATCTGGCCACACATTTTGTAGAAAGCTCTGGAAGCCTTTAGGGGATGGTGAAGCAGTCAGGTGCTCAAATCACTAAGGGTATCTGAAGAGCTTACATTTTATCTTTGTGGGAGTCAGCTGGGGAAGGGATGGGTGGATGATGAATCGGCTTTTATACCTCTTATTTTATTTTTGTTTTTCGAGACAGGGTTTCTCTGTGGCTTTGGAGGCTGTCCTCGCAAAGATCCACCTGCCTCTGCCTCCCAAGTCCTGGGATCAAAGGCGTGCGCCATCACAGCTTGGCTGACTCTTATACCTTTTATGCTGGAGGAGGAAGACAATACACCTCTAACTATACTGCAGAAGAGTGCAGAGTGGTTAGTAAGAAGTGGATGTGGGCCCTGCGTTTTCAGAAATAGTTGTTTAGCCAAGCAGTTTCTATTCAGGTTCCTGGAATGAGATCCACTCTATGTGAGTGAGGGGAGTCCAGACTGCCTGGTGTGCAGTTCTGTGAAGTTAGCAAAAACCTCTCTGTCCATGCCATTTCCAGCGATGCACCTGAGTTCAGCCCTAGTCAGAGGCTCTGGTCGCAGGGCTGGGATGCTGCTCTGAGATGTCAGTGTCCGGCATTCTGCTGCCCGTGATTCTCTCCTTTCTTCTGTTCTCACAGCTTCAATAGGCTTATTGTGAATAGGTGGTCAAGACTAGCTTATTAGGGCTGTCAGAGACCAGGTTTTGGCCCCAGAGAATTCTGATGACAATACTGCAAAGAGTGCCGTGTTCAGGTGCCTTCATGTGGAACAATGAGAGAAACAGCCCCCCTCCCCCGCACCCCCCACTGCTGCCAGAGACAGGGAACACAACAAGGAGAGTGAGACCAGACTCATGTGTAGCCCTGAAGACAGGTCTAACTATAGAAGCCTGAAACAAAACCTGATGGCACTGGGACTGATGGGGATGTCCTTCTGTATATATATTTCTCTTATTGATTGATGAAGAAAACACTGTTCAGCCAATAGAGGCAGGGAGATAGGCGGAACTAGGAGATGAGGAGAATAATGGGAAAGGAAGGCAGAGAGGGACCCTGAAGAGACACCATGTCTATAGAGACTGGGAGGATAGGATGCGTCAGGCCTTCTCTGGTAAGGTAAGGTGACGTACAAATACATAGATTAGTAGTTAAGAATTAACAATTAAGACAGAGCTAGCTAATAAGAAGTCCTAGCCATCAGCCAACAGTTTTATAATTAATATAGGTCTTTGTGTGTTCATTTGGAGCTGGAAGCAGCAGCTGGACTTGGCCAGACAAGAAAAACTCCAGCAACACTGGGACACATGGCCACACATGAAAACCTGCCAGGAATAAGCTGGGGTGATTTGGATAAAAACTATCAGAAGTGGTGAGTGATGGCTAGAATCTGTAGCTTATTAGCAAAACATAAGACACACTTTACAAGGCAGAAAGGGAAAGTCCTGAGCTCATGAAGGAGGGCTTGGTGGGTCTAGAGAACATCCTCTCCCAGTACAAGGGAGCAGAGCTATGGGAAAGACAGAAGGCTCCTGCAAGTTTCCATCGCTCTATCAGTAACAGATACTTTAAGGTGGGAGAAAGGGCTCAAGGGAGAAAAAAGCTGCAAGCATCCACAGCAGGAGAGATACTAGAAAACTAGATACTAGTCTCCCCTCAGTACCCAACCAGAGAAGTAGCCCAGTGCCGTTTTTCACAGACTTCTGCTGAGCAGGTGGCTTGTTAGCCCCAGGCTCTCCCTCCAGTAACCACCCTCTTGGGACAGTCAGAGCACACATGCGTGGGAGTATGTGCTGGAACCTGGCACGGTTCCCACACACAGTGAGGAGGAAACTTTGAGTCAGACCCTGCAGAATCCAGTGTGGTAGAAATCTCCTCAGACCTAGAGTCTGCAGGGAGCATAGATACAGGTGCCAAGGGTATGCTCACTGACATCAGGGAGATCCTCACAGAGGCCCGGGCAGTGTTCAGACTGCCAAGGGCATGGCTCCCCGAGTGTGAGTGAGCAGCATCTGAAACCGGACCCGAGAGGGATGGCTGCCTAGTGTGGACCAGTGTGCCTAGTGATGTGGACTGCCACGTCACATCGTCTGCCACGTGAAATTACAAAGGGTGCCCAGGGGTGCAGCAGATATCTGGGAACCCAGGAAGGAATTCCAAAGCAGTTGAGACTGTATTCAGACTTTATACCTCACACAGCTCTCTCTCTCTCTCTGTCACACACCACACACACACACACACACACACACACACACACACACACACACCTACTCCTCCTCTATTTATGATACATTTGGTTTCACACCTGCCACTGTATTGTCACCCCAGACTATGCATTTAGTGTGACAAACACAGATTCTATGAGGTCATCACACATCATTTGCTGAACAGATTTTACTTTTTTTTAGTATGTGAATAAGTGAATCAATCATCCTCCCTGGCATGCATATATATATTTCAAACCTATTACACCTAACAGATCTATAGTGAGTTTCTTTACTGATTCTGGTAAACAAGGAAAACTATAACTATACTATCCAGTCTTCAACTCCCTCAGAGATTCAAGAAGGAAATAATATTAACTGAGTAAACAGGAAGTGTGAGCAAGTGACTTGCAAAAACTGTGAGAAATGACAGAAACAGTTGGCTGCCCAAACAGTGACCCAAGATTGCTCTGCAATGTTGGGGAATCCATCTTCGACCTATATATATTCCTACCTTTCAAGAGGGAAGTATGACCTTGTCGTTCAATGAAATCTCAAGTTCAGCCAGGGATGGAGAGTTCTAAGCTAGCCTCTGTTGAAAGAGAGGGAGGGAGAGCTGGGAACAGAGAGGCTCAGTGTGGGGAGGGCTCAGTGCTCTGGGGGGAGACAGATACTCAGACATTGTCAGATGCTAATTGCAGAATGAGAACCAGGAGCTCTATAAGGAACAGGGGGACAGGGAGGACCAGAACAAATCCTATCCTCCACGGTTCAGTCCAACACAAATGCTCTGTCCCATCCTATAAACCAAAGAGCCAGGAATCAATCCACTCTAGTGTTGGTGAGTGCTGACACTCTGACAGTCCGTCGCATGCTCAAAATGCTCAAACTGTCTCAGTCCAGAGAATCAGGATAACCCAGGACATTGCCCTGTGACTCTCCCCATGTCCCACAGTCCCTGCAGGGTCACATCCTCCGCCCCCCCAGACAGGGTTTCTCTGTGGCTTTGGAGGTTGTCCTGGAACTAGCTTTTGTAGACCAGGCTGGTCTTGAACTCATAGAGATCCGCCCACCTCTGTCTCCCGAGTGCTGGGATCAAAGGCTTGCACCACCACTGCTCGGCACAGGGTCACATCTTTAAAAAGCTTTGACAGGAGCCTCTGCATTGGTCTTGTCTGGGAAAAAGCAAAACATGACCTGGTCAAACCTGACAGGAGATGGGATTACTGGAGGGGTAATGGCAACCTGAGCTCCTCCTTGGGCTCCTGCCTGTTCCACCCAAATCTCAGGGATCAGGCCCCCACAGTACTTCTTACTGTCAGCCTGAAGCCTGAACACAGGTTCCTCATATTTGACCTCTGGGAAGAAAACGTTTTGTGAGAGTCCATGTAGGAAGCAGATTCAAGTGGTGGGGGGGTTGGTGTCCAGAGGGGTCCCCTAATCCTTATCTCCCAGAAGTTTCCAGAAGTGAACTGCAGATGCCAGAAGGGTGTGGAAACTCAATGCCTCTGAACTGGCTTCCTGCATGTCTCTTACCAGTAGGA